TTCAGCTCTTTAATTGATCGAGTACTTGGTTTGTTTTTAAAGTAAGCAAATTGTATAGAAGTTGTTTAACCTTGTTTTCGCAACTTGTTCGCATTGGTAGGAAGACTTAGAGGAACATACCTAGTCGGGAGTCCATTCTATGCATGATTATTTGCAAAGTTGGACCATGGAAGTAGTACTTTCCAAGACGTTTGTTGCAAACATTATGGTATCGCTCCCCGATTCTGTAATGTAATGAGGAAGTGTCATTCAGACACAGTTAATGAAATACTTTATCACTCTTCTATCCAGAAATAAGAGGAAAGTTACGAGACTGAGGGGCATGAAATCGATCAAAAGTTGGCTGCATGTGACGAAGATACAAGAAAACGTAAGATCTGAGAGACCATCGAAATACTGACCGAGAGAGATCTAATGAACAGGAGAATTTAAGAAGGCAGGTGCATACACTTATCACACGTACAGTGGAAAACATATCCAAATGCTACAAGTAGTTTCTACTTAAATTCATACACTTATACTTCCTATCCAGTGTTGGCTTTTTTGTTGACTTCTATCGCCTATCTTTGTTTTACTCGAAATTAGGGAGGATGGCTCGTATAATATGTAATAGAAGGCTGTATTAAAGCTAAACGATTGATAAAGGACCGCATTCATCAGTCTGCTGCCGGTGGAACCAAACAACGAAATTTCAACCTAACCTTCATAAAAAATAAAGGTCTTCAAAATAATGTTATTTCAGGGGACTCATTAACTCTTTGCATCTAAATGTACAAAGTTCCTAAATATAATGTGGCTTTGCGGGTTAAGCTGATACAGATATAAACATTTTTTAGAGATATATAAAACTTACATTGCAGCTTGTGATGAAGAGGAAAGACTATGTTCGAGCTGTTCAGGAGGTTGGCAATTAGATTTAATTGAAGCCTGTCCAGATGACACGGATCCTGGAATGAGTCGGTGTTGCAGACGAGCTCGAGATTGCGCCAGTTCACATTCGGTCTGGCGGAGACGTCGAGTCAGATTGATAATCTGGTTGCGAAGATAATTAAGTTCAGAGAGAGTAGATTTTGCACGTTCCTCATCATGTTCAAGCATTTTACGCTGACGGCTGACTTCGAGTAGGGCAGCTTCGAGGCGCCTTTAGTTATTTAATAAAAAAAAATATAGAAAATGTAAAGGATGTCAATGAATGAATGAATTTTATCATGGAAAAACATAAATTATATAATAAAAATTAAAATAAGCATAGATATGAAGACTAAGATGGTGTGGCCCACCCATATGGTCGCCGTCTCCTTTCGATTCATAAAAGTGGGTTAACCTCGTTGTCACTCGGTTCCAATCCCAGTGTACGTTTCACTCCAGTGTTATTTTTCAAGGCCATAGAAGCATGTACACTACCGATTCACCGAGGAGAGCGCCGAGACTCTGATTCCTATACTTGCAGATATCAGGCATTGCCTTCAACGGCCGTCTCCTTGAATAAAGCGATGTAACCTGAGCAACCCGTGGACACCAAACTTTGGTTGCACGCTGAATGTTAAGTGGATTTCTAGTACATTTTGGCCATAGCATCGAATTTCCTTGACGATTTGCATATCAGTCCTTTTATCTCCCTGATTGCTAGGCCCCTAAAGTTGTACTGGTTTATTCGAAATGGACATCACTCACAAAGTTATCGCTAACTCCACCTTTCTCCAATCTCATGTTTATTAGATTTTTTCCCAAAGGATGTAAATGGCCTCCCTAATCTTCCGCATTCTTGTGTTTTCACCGTATGAGGCCCTTCCTTATATTATCTTGCAATTGATGTCGTGCCCAGTCTGCGATGTGTTCTGCTAATTCTGATCTTTCAATATCCATTTTTCTGCAGAACCTTTTATGTTCCTTGATTCGTATGATAATTTTTCTCCCTGTTTCGTCAATATTGTTTGCATGTTTTTTCCACCAAAACTTTGTTTGAATGAGCTGTATGATAAACAGTAAACTCCTGAATAATCCAATTTCTCTACACTTTCGTGTTGCGTCGGTAAACCTGTAAGTGTTAATTCCTCTTACATGTCTACCTGAATATTCCATTTAATCAATATTGGCCGTAGTTTGTGAGTTAGTTCGCAAAAAGGTAGGCATATCTACTTTTAAGAATCCTTCATCGTCCTTACTGTTATTTCATAGTTTCCGTTCTGGTATCGGCTTTTTACGGTCCGTATGCTTCTTTTTATCAATTCGATTGGGTAGCCATTGCCGAACAATATCCTAGTCAATTTGACCAGCTCCTCGTCTCAGAATTCTACACGCGTTAAGCATAGGCTTCGGATGATCATGCTCCTTATTATTTCTATCTTTAGCCGGTAATTCTGGAGGGACCAGAAATTGAGTGGGGGGTAGTAAGTTTCGGCGTTATGAGTTATGGCCCTTTCGAATAAACC